ATCTTTGTGGGGACCAAAAATTGGAATTTTACTATACTTGTAGGGACCAACAGCCCTTATGGGGACAATCCCCACGAGTTTGAAGGCATTTTTGAGAATCAAAATGTGGTTTAAGTGTCAGGGTTAGAGTTTGGCTAAGGGTTAGGCATTCATTTTTTATAGTTAGGAGTAGGGTAAGCATTATGTCAATTAGATATCCCCAGTAAATGATAAGTAACTTTACAGAGCTTCAAAGATGTCTCAGCAGCAAGAACAAAAAAAAATAAAAAAAATAATTGACTTTTTTGAAAATTTGGTTCTTGCTCAGGCAGTTTATGCAGCTGCACTGCAGCCATGGTTAGAAGTATGAACAGTACCTCATCCTCCTCTGAGCACTCTGAGGCTGACGTGGAGGCCTCAGAGGTAGAAACAGACGCAGTGACAGGTTGGACCTCTCCATCTCCATATTTTGGTTATCCCCATATTTTGTCTCCCACAAAGACTGCAATGCCCTGCTACATCCCAGGAGCCAGAGGTTTGACCCCAGGACCGACACACCCTGCCACCAGCTATGCACTGGTGCTGACGGATGAAATCCTGCAGCAAATTGTGGTTATGAGAACCTGAAAGGAAGAACTGCTTATGTAGAGATGCTCATGTTGGATGGTGTTTATAGGTAAAAAAAAAAAATCAGTTCCAATCTGCAGGGTGCTGCTGCAAGCCCCTTTCATCAGCAAATGTAAGGGCAGTGTGACCTTTGCACAGACAGAAAGAGAAGAGCTGGCAGCACCACGTGGAACGCATATAATACTTTTACAGCCATTTGTTTGTGAAAGGTGGTATTATTTTCGTTAGGATGAGTTAAAAAAAAAAACAAAAACAAAACAAATCTGACTCTGTATTAAAAATAAAAATGCATGAAAATAAATAAATATAATGACAATATAATCCTTGAAATGTAGTTTATTTTATTAGTTTGTTTGTTTTTTTCAATTAAAAAAAAGAGTGGAGCTGTGCAAACATAATGGCCTTTAAAGGGTTAAAAAGAATGATTAATCATCTTTTATACATTTCAGGCTGAAGTAGTTTTAGAAGACTGAGTCATTTAAAGTACAAATTATAATATATAATTTATATAATTTATATATAATATTTCTACAGCGGTTTTTGGGAAAGTGGCATTTTGTCGCTTGAGGGTAAAAAGAGTCCGTTTTTTTAAGGCTCATCTAAAGATTAAAGCATTATTCAATATGAAAACAAAACACACCTTTACACAGACACGCACATGGACACACAAACACTGAGCTTCAAAGTGTCCTTGATCCAGGAGAAGGTCAAGAACAGGCAGCTTTGCTGCTGTTTGATGTAGTGACCTGCACAGGGATCACTGGACTTAGAGTGGACTGGTCAGTAAGTGTGTGAGAGTCTGTGAAAGAGTAAAAGAGAGAGAGCACGTGTGTGAGTGTGTGTGTGAGAGAGAG